CAAACTCCCCCAGTTTCCCCCCAGACGCCTCTGACCTGTTGGCCACCAGCTGCAGGATCTGCAGCAGGAACTTGCCCAGCCCCCTCCTCCTCACCCGGCTCTCCAGCTGCACCTCATAGCTGCAGGAGGGACACCCCAAAAACCCCCTGAGACCCGGGAACAGACACCCCAAAAACCCCTGAGACTGAGGAACAGACACCCCAAAACCCCCCTGAGACCCAGGAACAGACACCCCAAAACCCCCTGAGACCGGGGAACAGACACCCCAAAAACCCCCTGAGACCTGGGAACAGACACCCCAAAACCCCCTGAGACCCGGGAACAGACACCCCAAAACCCACTGAGACCTGGGAACGGACACCCCAAAAACCCCCTGAGACCATGAACAGACACCCCAAAAACCCCTGAGACTGAGGAACAGACAACCCAAAACCCCCTGAGACCGGGGAACAGACACCCCAAAACCCCCTGGGACCGGGGAACAGACACCCCAAAACCCCCTGAGACTGAGGAACAGACACCCCAAAACCCCACTGAGACCTGGGAACGGACACCCCAAAACCCCCTGAGACCATGAACAGACACCCCAAAACCCCTTAAGACTGAGGAACAGACACCCCAAAAACCCCTGAGACCCGGGAACAGACACCCCAAAACCCCCTGAGACCCGGGAACAGACACCCCAAAACCCCCTGAGACCCAGGAACAGACACCCCAAAACCCCTTGAGACTGAGGAACAGACACCCCAAAAACCCCTGAGACCCGGGAACAGACACCCCAAAAACCCCCTGAGACCGGGGAACAGACACCCCAAAACCCCCTGAGACCATGAACAGACACCCCAAAACCCCCTGAGACTGAGGAACAGACACCCCAAAACCCTCTGGGACCGGGGAACAGACACCCCAAAACCCCCTGGGACTGGGGAACAGACACCCCAAAAACCCCTGAGACCTGGGAACGGACACCCCAAAAACCCCTGAGACTGAGGAACAGACACCCCAAAACCCCCCCGAGACCCCAGGAACAGCCCCACAGCCACTGTGGTGTGGCAGTGACCCCAAATCCGAGCCCCCTCACCAGTACAGGACACCCCAAAACCCCCCCGAGACCCCAGGAACGGCCCCAGAGCCGCTGTGGGGTGACCCCAAATCCGAGCCCCCCTCACCAGTACAGGACCTCGTCGCCGCACTCGACGTCGAAGCGGAAGTGGGAGAAGGCGACGGGGCCGTGGCCGGGCTCGCGGGCCAGCAGGTACCAGGCGCGCTCGTCCCGCAGCTCCTCCCGCTTCTCCCGCTCCTTCCAGCCCCACTCGCTCTGCTCGTAGCTGGGCACGGGAAAAACGGGGCGTGGGGGCCGGGAAACGGGGTTTGGGGGGGAAAAAATGGGGGTTTGGGTGAGGAAATGGGGGTTTGGGGTGAGGAAATGGGGGTTTGGGGTGAGGAAATGGGGGTTTGGGGGGGAAAAAATGGGAGTTTGGGGGGTGGAAATGGGGTTTGGGGTGAGGAAACCAGAGGTTTTTGCCAGGGGATGTTGAGTAACAAACCCAGGGATTTGGGGGAACAAAACCCAGGTATTTGGAGGAAAAAGCCCTGGGGATTTGGGGGGAAAAACCCAGGGATCTTTGGGGAAAAAAACCCAGGGATTTGGGGGGGAAAACCTCCAGGGATTTGGGGGGAAAAACTCCCAGGGATTTGGGGGGAAAAAACCCCGGGGATTTGGGGTAAATCACAGCAAGAACCAAGGTGGGAAATCAAAATCACGGGCAACAAGGAAGATTGCAAGGGTTGGGGGGAAAATTCCAGCGCCGGTGATTTTGGGGCAGGAAAGTCCATCGGTGCCACTCACAGCGTCTGCATGTTGGCCTTGGTCAGCTCGAAGGCCCAGTCCAGCGTGGACGGCTCCAGGCCGGACACGCGGCGGCACTCGATGGACACGTTCAGCCTGGGGACACACGGGGACACCGTGGGGACACCAGGGACACCGGGACCAGCCTCGGGGACACCGGGAGCAGCAGCACTCACCCGTTCCTGTCGTACTTTTTGAACACCGGGAAGGCCTCGAGGGGATCTTGGAGCTGGAAGAGAGCAGAGCGCGGCCGAGGGCAGCGGGGCTGGCACCGATTCCGGCCTTTTCCGCCCCAATTCTGCTCGCCACACTCACTTTGTTGGCGGCCTCGACCTTGGCGCAGACAGCGGCCATGGCCGCGCGCTCCTCCAGCCGCCGCTGCTTCTTCTCCTTGGCTTTGCTCGACTTCCTCTGGGGAAAAAACGCACCAAAACCCTGGGAATCGGCACCAAAGCCCGGCCATCCCCGCCGGCGGGACGCTCTGCCCGCCCCCGAGCCCAAAAGTTCTGCCCCAAAGTCATTAAGGAACAGCAAAAGTCATCAGCGTGGAGCTGCAGGTGAGGAGAGTGTCCCAAAAGCTTAGAGAAAACTGCGGTTTAGGGAGAAAACCAGTGTTGAGTTTTTAGTCTCTCTGTGGGGTGTTGCTGCTGGGCGATGCAGCTTGAAGGGGTTTTGTCCCAAAATCTCGGGGGTTTTAGGTGGGACAAGGAGGTGGCAGCGAGCAGCAGTCACGTAAAATTGTTCCTTTGGAGTGGCTTTCCCAAATCTGAGGAAATTGGCACTAAAAATGCGGGTGATTTCACCCAAAATGAGGGATCCTGCTGGGATCCCCGCTAAGCTCCGGTCAAAGAGATTGCTGAGCTGCAGAATCACCAAAATCAAGCGAAGTGCACCCAAAAGGAAAGAAGTGACAAGAAAAGCAGCGGGGTGGGGAGGGGCACAGGGTAAATGTCCCTCAAAAACTCATCTGTCACGGGGTTCGGGGGAATTCAAAGTGTTTTGGGGATGGAGCAGGCAGCACCTGCTGCTGGCCGGGATGTGGATGCTGGAACCTCCGCTTTAGGGTCATTCTGGGGGAAAACACGGGAATTTTGCAGCAGGCGATTGGATGGGACATCACGGGAGGAGTCTGGGGAAGCCCAGCCCCAAATCCTCCCAAAACAGCCCCAAATCCCCTCAGAAAAGCCCACATTTCGCCGTGGGAACCTCAAATGCTCACGAAAGCTTCTAAAAGCCTCACCAAAGCCTCAAGAGCCTCCGAGAGCCCAAAAAGGTCCCAATTTGCTCCCAGCAGCATCCAGAGCCCTCCCAAGAGCTCCGCATGACCTCAAACAACCCCAAAACCTCACGGCAAGTCCCGAATCTGCGCACAGGACCCCAATCCCCAAATCCCCCCCAAGGAGCCTGCCCAGCCTCTGAGCCGGTCCCAAACGCCGCCACGGAACCCCCCGAGGCCTCGCGGCCACCTCCCAGCCGCCGAGACGACCCCAAATCCCCTCGCACGACTCCCGCGACCCCCGCGCCGACCTCCAGCCGCTCAGCGGCGCCTCGCAGGCCCCGCCCCTGCACAGTTTCCCCTCAGGCCGAGCCCCGCCGGGCGCGGCGCGGCCCCGCTCACCCCCATGATGGCGGCGGCGGCGGCTCCGGGCGGCGCGGGGGGCGCGGAGGTTCTGAGGGGGCGCGCGCGTGGGGCGCGCTATTTATACGGGGGGGGGCGGGGGGGCGGGGCGCAGAGCGCGCGAGCCCGCGGCCGGAGGCCAATGCGCAGGCGCGGAGGGGGAAAGGGGCGGGGCGAAAGGGGCGGGGGCCGCCGCGCGTGCGGGATGGGCGGGGCGGAGCGGGCGCGTGGCGGCGGCGCGGGGCGCGAAGGCGGCTCGGCGCTGATTGGCTGAGAGAGGATTGGGCGGGAAGGCGGGAGGCCACGCCCACCGCGCTGAGGGGGGCGGAGTCAAAACCCGGACCGGAGAGATCGGAACGGGTTAAACCGGGACCGGAGAGCTCCGAACGGGTTAAACCGGGACCGGAGAGCTCAGTATGGGTTAAACCGGGACCGGAGAGCCCGGAACGGGTTAAACCGGGACCGGAGAGATTGGAACGGGTTAAACCGGGACCGGAGAGCCCGGAACGGGTTAAACCGGGACCGGAGAGCCCGGAACGGGTCAGAAACGGGACCGGAGAGATTGGAACGGGTTAAACCGGGACCGGAGAGCTCAATATGGGTTAAACCGGGACCGGAGAGCCCGGAACGGGTTAAACCGGGACCGGAGAGATTGGAACGGGTCAGAAACGGGACCGGAGAGATTGGAACGGGTTAAACCCGGACCGGAGAGCTCCGAACGGGTTAAACCGGGACCGGAGAGATTGGAACGGGTTAAACCGGGACGGGAGAACCCGGAACGGGTTAAACCGGGACCGGAGAGATCGGAACGGGTTAAACCGGGACCGGAGAGCCCGGAACGGGTTAAACCGGGACCGGAGAGCTCCGAACGGGTTAAACCGGGACCGGAGAGCCCGGAACGNGAGAGCCCGGAACGGGTTAAACCGGGACCGGAGAGCTCCGAACGGGTTAAACCGGGACCGGAGAGCCCGGAACGGGTTAAACCGGGACCGGAGAGATTGGAACGGGTTAAACCGGGACCGGAGAGATCCAAACGGGTTAAACCGGGACCGGAGAGATCTGAACGGGTTAAACCGGGACCGGAGAGCCCGGAACGGCCGCACAGCCCAGCCCCACATCGGCCCCGCTCCCCCCGGTGCCCCCGGTGCCCCCGGTGCCCCGAGCCCCGCGGAGGGGTACGGGGGGCGGCGGGGCCGTGCTGAGGCCGCTGGAACTACTTCGGCACCGGGAGCGGCGGCGGCGGCGCTTTGTGCGGCTCGGCGGGCTCGGGACCCCCGGCCCGGGACCCCCCCCCAAATTCCCGACCCCCCCCACCCCCCCGGCCCCGCTCCCGCCCCCCGGGCCCGCCCCGCTCCTCCCCCTCCCCGAATTCCCACGCCCCTCCCGGGACCCCCGGCTCGGGGGGATTTGGGCGGGGGGCGCCGGGGCCGAGCGGGTTCCCGGAGCGGGGCCGTGCCGGGGGTCCCGGGGTTCCCGGGGGTCCCGGGGGTCCCGGGGCGATGCCCGCCGTGATGGAGAAGCCGGCGGCGATCCTGTCCCGCAGCCGCGCCAGGGCGGGGGGCGCCGCGGGACCCCCCCCCTCGGAGGACGAGGCCAGCGAGGACGAGCACGGCCACGGTGAGCGACCCCCCCCCAAAAAAATAACCCCCAAAAACCACCCCCGCGCCTGCGACCCCCCCCCCGGGACACCCCCCGGCTGCGCCCACCCCCCCAAATAACCCGCGGGGTGCCGGGGACGGCCCCGCGCGAATTTGGGGAGGGGGCGCCCCCCCCGCGGGGTTCGGCCGGGGGGGTGGGGGTCCCGCGGGGACGTTTCGGGGGGTGGGGGGCGAACAAAGCCCCGTCCCCATTGTCCCCGGGCGCCCGCGTGGGCGCCGCTTTGTTCCCGCGGGGGAGGGGGCTCGGCCGGACCCCCGGGCCGGGGGGCTCGGGGGTCGGTGCGGACCCCCCCGGTAAAGCCCCGCGCCCCTCCCGCCGCAGACAGCATGATCCGGGTGGGGGCCGACTACCAGGCGGTGATCCCCGACTGCAAGCCAGGTACGGAGCTGCGGGGAGGGGGCCGGGGGGTCCTGGGGGGGTTTTGGGGGTCCCCCCCGGCCCGTGTGACCCCCGTGCCCCCTCCCCAGAGAGCCCCGCCCGCTACAGCAGCAAGGAGCTGAAGGGGATGCTGGTGTGGGCCCCCAACCACTGCGTGTCCGACGCCAAACGTGAGCCCCCCGACCCAAAAACGGGGGGGTCCTGCTGGGGAGGGGGCGTCCGGGGTGCCCCCCAGCCCCCGCGCCCCCCCGTGACACCCCCGATCCCCCCCATCCCCCCTTCATTCACCCCCCCTGCCCCCCAAAATCCCTTTGAGCCCCC